GGGTTTCACCATGTTGGCCAGGCTGGTGTCAAACTCCTGAACTCTGGTGATCCGCCCACCTCGGCCTCCCAAAGTGCTGGGATTACAGGCGTGAGCCACCGTGCTCGGCCTATCATGCTCTTTTAAGAATGGGACAAACACTGAAGTTCCAAGAAAGCCAGAATGTCAGAGAAAGTATGTGGAATCAAAAATTGGGCATATATTTGGAGATATTTAAAGAGTATTTGATTCTGAAGCTAACTAGGGAAAAAAGATTTCACTTTTCTTGCTAAGGTATGAGTCAGCCTCAAGACTGAACTTGTACATTTGTGTTTCTTCTACTTTTAAAAAGAAAAAGTATTCTATTTTAGATACAGAATACTATTATGGTTTTCTATTGCTAAGTGGAAATAAAAGTATAGTAATAAGTAAACTAAAGAGGGAAGAAATCTACCTAAAACAAAAAGCAATAAGAAATTGTTGGGGTCTCTGCATTTGAAGGGCTAAAAGCAGCTGGCAAGTAACTGTGCTTCCAGGGCCATAGAGCTGTGGAGCAAGGCAGAGCAGTAGGGAGAGTTTTTAAAATTTTTTTAATTTTTAATTTTGAGAAGCAAGATTGAAGCCCCAGCTGAACAATAAGCAGAAGCTTCCACTTGGCAGACACAGATTCCAGCAGCATTCCTGGCGCATCATGGTGTTCAGTAATCAATTTGCTGGAAAGATAGATTGTGACACAGAAACAGTCCTCCAGCCAGTCTCATGCATATTTCATACCTGTGGGAATCAGGCAGGTGACCTTCAGGCTGGAACTGAAACTAAGCCCCTCTACCAGGCACATGCAAACAGACAGAGCACACTCTGATCCTCTTCAGAATTCTTCAATTTGGAGATTGTACCCAGTTTAGAGTCCACTAAAAAAGGATTTTTCAAATGCGGCATGTGACAGCAGACAGCAGCATAAGCTACCTGCAAGAAAGAGGAAATGAAGTTTGGTTTATAGGAACAGGGGAACCTGACTACAGTCGAGGAAATGTTTTTTCTGAACACTGGGGTCTGTTAATCTGTGAAACTTCCTTCCTACAGGCATTTAAATTTTTTATATGCTTTTCTTTATCTAAAATGGGTTAGGTTTGATATTGCCTAAAGCCACCTGAGAACTGGAAAATAAAATTAAATTCTTTATAAAGGAAATGTTAAATAGCTCCCCAAGGCTTTACAGAGATACTTTAGATTTTCAAAGATAATTATTATCTGTTCTAAGATGGGCTGTGACTAGTAGCCTTTAGTAGCCTTCATGTGTTTTAGAAAACTGGAAGATTAGCTGTTGTATATTCAGTATAATGCTATATATATACAGTCACCTGATATATCTAACCAGATGATGGTTATTAAACTTTATGTCAAGACAGTATATTAATGGAAGCTTTACCTACCTAACCCCTCCACATTTTATGTGTACTAAAGTCAGCAGATAGTCTGAATCCCTATTTAAGAAGAATTTCATTTGTTCAATTGCCAGAGATTAATTTTTATTGTAATTCCTTCCATAACATCTCTGAGTTTTCCAGAAAGTTGGAACAACATGAAAGCATAGTTTCATTTACCAGGTGTAAATAATCATTAATGTTCTTTGCATTCACTTTAATTTTGTTTTGTTTTAGTTCTGCACAAGACAAAGAAGAATGGATCAAGGTAAGCCTCATTTTTCTTTTCTATTCTTTTCTTTTTTTTTTTGAGACAGGATCTCATTCTCACCCAGTCTGGAGTGCAGTGGTGCAGTCATGTCTCACTGCACCTCTGCCTGGTCTCAAGCAATCCTCGCATCTCAGCCTCCTGAGTATCTGGGACTATAGACATGCACCACCATGTCTAGTTAATTTTTTTGTGTATTTCATAGAGACAACGTTTTGCCATGTTGCCCAGGCTGGTGTTGAATTCCTGAGCTCAAGCAATCTGCCTGCCTCAGTCTCCCAAAGTGCTGGGATTACAGGTGTGAGCCACTGCGCCCAGCTTATTTTCACTTCTGTTTTTTAGTAACTTCTCTGTGCATATATTGTTGTGTATATTTTAATATATAGTCGTCATTAAAATAGGTTCACTTAATTTTCAAAGTGATTCCTATCATAGATATTTGTTTGATAAAGTATATTCATTGGTTTATATGAGACACTTTAATGTGTGCTTTGAATTTTACTTATACTTTAGGCCCTTCAAGAAACCATCGATGCTTTTCATCAAAGGCATGAAACCTTCAGAAATGCAATTGCAAAGGATAATGACATTCATTCAGAGGTTTCTGTGAGTTGAATTAAATTCTTAACTTCAAGCTCTTTTATATCTTTGCAGTTGCGGAAGATCTGTTTAATCATTTTGTTCTTCAACCTTTTCCCTTTACAATGTCAGAAATGGCTGTTTAGACAGAATCTCATTCTTAAACGAACACAATAGTGAGTGCCCTTTCATTCTACTTGAACTTCTTTGAATTTTTCTTACTCTTTTTTTTTTCTTAAGATAGAGGCTTGTTCTGTTGCCCAAGCCGAAGTGTAGTGGCACAATCTTGGCCCACTACAACCTCCACCTCCCAGGTTCAAGTGATTTTCCTGCCTTAGCCTCCCAAGTAGCTGGGATTATAGGTGCATGCCACCATGCCTGGCTAATTTTTATATTTTTAGTAGAGAGATGGTTTCACCATGTTGGCCAGGCTGGTCTTGAACTACTGACCTCAGGTGATCTGCCCACCTTGGCCACCCAAAGTGCTGGGATTACAGATGTGAGCCACTACACCAACCTTATTCTTGAGTTTCAGGACATGGTTTGAGCAATGTAGTTAAAATTATTTCAAAAAATAATGACAATAAAAGGGAATTGTAGTTTTTTTCCCTATTAAAATTGAATCTTTCTTTCCTTTTTAGACTGCTGAGCTAGGGAAAAGAGCCCCAAGATGGATCCGAGATAATGAAGTGACAATGTGTATGAAATGTAAAGAATCTTTCAATGCACTGACGCGAAGGAGGCATCATTGTCGAGCATGTGGATATGTAAGTGAGATTTCTTGATCATTAAGGTTGCTAGTAACTATATAAGTGATGTAAAGTCATCATCTTGGGACACACACACACACACACACACACACACACACACACACACAGTAACTTTCAATGTATCACTAAATCAGTACATTTATTTCGATGCCAACTATGTGCAGAGCACTGTGCTGAGCCCTGGAGAAATGTTCCCTGGCTTCACAGAGCTGACATTGTAATGGAGAAGACAGACAAATAAGAATTTCAGATTACTATAGATAGAATAAAAAAGCAATTGAATAGTTAAAAGTGGACAGTATTAGTAATAGAGGAAGATTTGGAACCAATTTTAGTTCCAAAAAAAAGACCTGTCTAAGGGGTTGATATTTAAATTGAAGCTTAAAAGATTGAGAAAAGGGGGCAGGCGCAGTGGCTCACACCTGTAATCCCAGCACTTTGGGAGGCCGAGGTGGGTGGATCACCTGAGGTCAGGAGTTCAAGACCAGCCTGACCAACATGGTAAAATCCTGTCTCTACTAAAAGTACAAAATTAGCCGGGCATGGTGGCGTGTGCTTGTAATCCCGGCTACTTGGGAGGCTAAGGCAGGAGGATTGCTTGAACCTGGGAGGTGGAGGGTACAGTGAGCTGAGATTGCAGCATTGCACTGCAGCCTGGGCAATAAGAGTGAAACTCTTTCTCCAAAAAGGAAAAAAAAAAAAAGGTTGAGAAAGAGCTAATAATCAATAGAAATGGGAAAAAACTTCAGACAGTGAAAGTCTATACGCAGAGCACCTGAGGTAGGAAGGAACTTGGTCTGTTCATGAGACTGCCAAAGGTCATGAGGCTGGAGCGTGATGAAAAAGACGAGGAGCGTTAGAGGAATAAATAATGGCCAAACAATGACTTGTTTCTGTGAGAAACAAGAGTAGATGGAACCCACAATACAAGTGGAAGTTCTGGCTTTGATGAGGAGAGGAAAACTTCCTCCATTATATCAGAAGGGAAAAAGAAAAAGATAGGTACAAATGTAGGTGAGTTGGGATTTTTGTTGTTTCTGACGGTGAGAAATGAGGGAGTTTAAGTCCAATATCTGTATGTTCACTGAAGAACAAAGCAGAATCATCAGTTGAAAGTGAAGTTGAAAAGAACAAAGTTGAATCATCAGTTGAAGGAAGGAGGAGATGGGGAGATTCGAGAAAGAGGACTAAGTGTGAAAGTTTTCTCTGGGCAGAGAAAAGTGAGCCTGGTAGAGGAACAAAGGTGGACTTGGTTACCTGTTAGAAGTTTACACTTACAAATTTAAAGGGACGCTAGTCAGCTTAGTGGCAGTGATTTTTTTCTAACAAGATATAGAAACTCAGGCCAGAGAAGGCAGATAGCAGGGTTTATCCACAGTAAGTATAATGAGAAAAGCACTGGAAGAGAAGGGAAACATTTGCATCAGAGAGTTAATAATGAAGAAGAGGAGTCTCAATCAGATACAAAGAGCGGGAAAGCTAGGAGGCAGGGTTGATGGTTAATGTTCTCATTGTGGTGGGGCTGGTGGACAGAAGGAATTCAATAAGTTCAGAAATGTATGGTAGTGGACATCTTGGGGTCACTGAATGAGAAATATGGGAGATATTGATGAAAAAAATGGGATATGTGAATCTGGCCTGCCAGATATGGTTCACCTTCTGGTGATGACAAAGTCCTGGGGGTTACCATGAGACTGGATAGTGAGGTAGACTGCACAGCACTGGCCGCAGGGATATAAGGTGGTAGAGTTGGGCTTGTCACATGAATGTTGAAATCCACGGACATTGGGGTAGATCAGAGAACTATGTTCCATTAGTGAGAAATTCCTGAGTGAATGGGTGTGGGGCAGATGATGAGGAGATGCTAACTCAGTAGGGGAGATGTGCAGAGCCAGACAATAATGGGCCTCAGAGGTGCCAGGCAACTGTTTGAAGCAAGGAAAGAGTCAGGGAATACAAGCCTCAGCTCTCAGCCCTGAGGTCTCAGAGGTGACAGAAGGCAAAATGGAGTGGGGGAAAAACAAAAAACCTCCACTAGAGAAAAGAGCCTGAGGATATGGAAGAGGTCGATTGTAGAGTGAAAATGGAAGGGCATGGAGGTGAAAGTAGGAGATGAACTAGGTTAAATTATGTACAGAGGCCAGGCGTGGTGGCTCACACCTGTAATCCCAGCACTTTGGGAGGCCGAGTGGGGTGGATCACAAGGGCAGGAGTTAGAGGCCAGCCTGGCCAGCATACTGGAACCCTGTCTCTACTTAAAAAAAATTAGCCAGGTGTTGTGGCAGGCACCTGTAATCCCAGCTCCTCGGGACGCTGAAGTAGGAGAATCGCTTAAACCCGGGAGGCGGAGGTTGCAGTGACCCGAGATCACGCCATTGCACTCCAGCTCAGGCAACAGTGCAAGACTCCGTCTCAAAAAAAAAAAAAAATTACGTACAGAGGAGTATGTTTGGTGATGAGGCTGAGAAAATAGCCAGAGAGGTGGGCCTTTTCCTGGGACCTGAGAGACAGGAAAGTGGGACATGACATGGAGTGCATTCTGCTGGACTTTGAGATAAGGACGGGCAGCCAGACCTACTGCTATGATCCCAGAAGTTTCCCTCGGTGGCCTGGCAGCCTAAAGGATGGTGCTTCCTGAGAATCTAAGGAACAATGCTTCACACTGAAGATACACATGTTAGGTATTGGTGGACACAAACTGCTTAGCATTAGAGTCAGCACTGCAAGACAGGGACTGGCAGAAAACGGGCTGGAATGGTGTAGGTAGGAATCAGGTCACTGAGAGCCAGAGATGCCATGGTAAGATGCTTAGATTTGATCACTTTTTAAAGGGAATTGGTTCAATGAAGAAAGAGTTGAGGAAGACAGGAAGTAAGTAGTCAGGAATGACTTTAATGTTAAGATTTGGGTGAATGGATAAATGGTAGTGACATAGAAAAATGAAGCAAGGTTAAATGAAGGGGAGGTAAGCAAAAGGAAAAATAACAGTAGTTATCATTTATGATATACAAGTGCCAGGGATTGTTTGAAGTGTGTTGTATACTGTTTCTTTTTTCTTTTCTTTTCTTTTCTTTTTTTTTTTTTGAGATAGAGTCTTGCTCTGTCGCCCAGGCTGGAGTGCCATGGCATGATCTCTGCTCACTGCAGCCTCTGCCCCATGGGTTTAAGCAATTCTCCTGCCTCAGCCTCCTGAGGAGCTGGGATTACAGGCGTACGCCACCATGCCCAGCTAATTTTTGTACTTTTAGTAGAGATGGGGTTTCACCATGTTGGCCAGGCTGGTCTCTTGACTCCTGTGATCCACCCACCTCGGCCACCCAAAGTGCTGGGATTATAGGCATGAGCCACTGTGCCCCGCCCTATACTGTTCTTACAGTTTCTCAATTCTCATGTGTGGAAGATTCTATTTTCTCCATTATATAATTCAGAAATGGACTCTTCGTTACGTATTTCTCTTTTTTCTTATTCTCTCCCTGTGGGATTCAGATGAGGTGTACATAAGATCACCTCATTCCATCTTCCATTTCTCTTGTTTTTTTCCATCTCTGTGTCTCTCTCTGGCATTTTATTCATCTCTATCTCCTGTTTTGTTCATTTACTCTTCGGTTGTAGTGAATCTGCTGTTCATTTTTTTGTTTTGTTCATTTTTTATTTTAATTATTTCCAAAAGTTTTTCCTTCCAAAATCTGCCTGATCATTTTGGATAGTTTTTGTTGTTTGCCACTTTGTTTTCAAACATTTCTTATGTACTTTTCACATTTGTATCTAATAATGCCAGTAGCTAAAGGCATTATTTTTTTATTTTATTATTTTTTTTTAAGACGGTATTTTTGCTCTTGTTGCCCAGGCTGAAATGCAGTGGCGCAATGTTGGCTCACCACAACCTCTGCCTCCCGGGTTCAAGCGATTCTCCTGCCTCAGCCTCCCAAGTAGCTGGAATTACAGGCATGCACCACCACGCCCAGCTAATTTTGTATTTTTAGTAGAGACGAGGTTCCTCCATGTTGGTCAGGCTAGTTTTGAATTTCCAACCTCAGGTGATCTGCCTGCCTCAACCTCCCAAAGTGCTGGGATCACAGGCATGAGCCACCGTGCCTGGCCTAGCTGAAGACATTTCAAGGGTTCCAAATCTGTTGTTTCTACTAAATTCTAGTTCCTGGAGGCTTGCTTTCTGCTGTAATTGGTCTCCTCTGATTGTGAGCTTGTATTTGGTTGATGCTTCATTATCTTCCTTTCTTTTTTTATTTTTATTTTTTTTGAGACAGAGTGTCACCCCGTCGCCAGGCACCAGGCTGGAGTGCAATGGTGCAATCTCGGCTCACTGTAACCTCCGCCTCCCGGGTTCAAGCAATTCTCCTGCCTCAGCCTCCGGAGTAGCTGGGACTACAGGCGCGTGCCACAATGCCCAGCTAATTTTTGTATTTTTAGTAGAGATGGGGTTTCACCATGTTTGCCAGGATGGTCACGATCTCTTGACCTCATGATCTGCTTGCCTTGGCCTCCCAAAGTGCTGGGATTACAGGCGTGAGCCACTGCGCCTGACCACCATTATCTTCCTTTCATAAGTTTTGGCATAATGACAGAGTCTGGGGGTCAGTTTTCCCATGGCCTCCAGGCCCCATGGACTGTCTGCTAATCCCAGCACTGCCCATCCCACTTGTTTGCTCTGTTCAGCCACCATTACAATTTCAGCTTACTGTGTGTCTGTTGGTTTGTTTGTTCACTGGGTTTGGGGGCCTTGGAGAGTTCTCTTACATTAGTGTGAAGAAGTAAAACATTACAATTATTTGCTGTATTTTGTCCAGAATCCAGTTGTATTATAGCAAAATTCTCTTTTTTTTCTCTTTTTTTTTTTTTTTTTTTT